GGCATGGCAAGTCATAGACTAGGTATTAGAATATAGAACCAGGATAGATGCGGCAGAGACTGGAGCTAGTTGGCTAACGGTTTTACCAGAGACGTGGTCCATGTAGCAAAGGCGTGACCATGAGACTTACTCAGAGGCTTTAGCCTTGAATCAGTCATTCAGGTGCAAAGGATGGGCGAATTACGCCTCAAGTAGCACAGATAGGAGGCACGCGTCGAGTGTAATACGTGTACAAGGCAGATAGTAGACGGATTCTATGGGGGCAAGAGGGAGACTCTGATACAACCCAGTGAAGGAGGCCTACGTAACAATATGATAGACTCTGGTCAACATTCCCAGCACAAGAGAGAAGAGGGTGATTACGACAGCGTAGTGTTTGAAGGGTTTTCATGAATGCCTCTCAAATGAACACACCACACTACATCTAAATAGGCACGATAAGAATTGTGACAGTGAAGGTGTGATAGGAGAATATAGGTAATGCGAATAGCGCAGGGCAGAAGGGGAGATACTACAACTGTTTAACACACGTTTGGTCAAAGGATAGGATTACTTGTCTCTTTGACGAGTTGTATGGTGCTAAGAATGGCGAGGCCCACTGATGATGCCGACTCTGATGCCGGCCAAACATTTGGGAATATACCACGTCCAGGGCCCGACTTTGGAAAGTATTATGCATACAATGGACTCCGGACTAGGTGCGTTCCTCTAAGTATTCCTACATATATGACCAAGTTGCGAAAACAAGGTCAAATAACCTATATAAAATGAAAGGAGACTGTGACCACACAAAAGGCTACACCATCTTGGTCTTGATACTTTCGATAAAACAGCCAATACCCTGAAAAGAAGGAATGAGTGTAGGAAATTGAGTGGAAATTATTTGTAGCTGTAGGATAAGATTAAAGAGTGGGGGGTGAGAAGTACAACCGAGGAAAAGGAAGAGGCTTGATTAGACTCAAATTTGGTTTTGGCTCTCACATTTCACGCATTTAAAAAGCAATTCATTGACAAAGAACAGGTTCAATGGAATGCAATCACATGCGGTAAAATTGCAGAATCAACGGTATAAGCGTTTTAGGGAAGGATGCAACCTTTCACAATTGCATCCGTTTTATGCTTTACCTGCAGCCACTTTTCAACAATCATTTAGGCAAAGTATAGGATATCCAACAAAAATATGAGATGTCTAATTAAGTTAACCAAATTGGACTATAAGAAGTAGGTAGGTTTGAGGCTGGCTACCTTTGGTGTCTTCATATTTTAGTGAATTATCGTTAAGCATGGTGTACTGCTCCGTTACATGAGAGACGAAAGCTAAGCAAGGATTCATCGGTTTCGCTCAGTGTCTATTCACAAATATCTACAATCAAGGCCCCAAGGCAATCTTCTAAGAGCTTCCGGTGAGGACAATTTACGAATCCCTTCTATTCTCTTCTTCAAATGAAATGAAAGATGCTCTAACATCAATATTGTGACACTTCGAATATTCCACTTTATCAGCCATTCAGTCGAGATCTTATTTTTACCAATAGCCAAAAAATACAATAGTAAAAAAATTGGCAAAATGCAGCTTCTAAAAGCCCTTACTAGAAAGAGGTGGCTCGATCATTAATCAGACTGATGAAAATAATAGAGCTAAACAAATATTCTCCCACATCGTTATTGTGTTTAGGATTAGTCCGCGTTAATACCTTTCCATCTTTCCACAGTAAGTGTCTCAAGGTCGTCTAGAGTCAAATTAATCCAGTGACTGCACCCAGCAGGTCTGCTAACTGTCCCTGATGCCGTAGCCGAGACTTGGGAGGTTTGGTCTGCACTAGGTTCGATTAATGATCCCCGTGGAGAAGACGGCAGACTGGTGCTGACTTGATTTGTCTTGTACTTGGTCCTGGTAGCTCGAGTGGTCGGTGGGGAATCAATGAAGACGCCAGCTCCAGCATCGTTACCAGTTCCGCTCATTCGAGCGGCTGCCAACTGGCGCCAGCATACGTTAAGCATAAGTGTAAAATCTGTCACAGTCAGCATGCCAGTGAATGATTGGCTTGAGGAGCTCCAGACTGGAGCGGCTCGGATGCCATTATAGGCGAGAGCTCGAAACGCCTTTCCAATCTGAAGGCATCATGGCAAAAAAAGTAACGTTATGTTAGAAATTATTTGGAGAGTTAGACATTAATATTAAAGCAAATTGCAACCAAATCATTATATCTTTAAAGTCACACAAAGTTAATTACAGAACAAGAAGTATTTATCCTAGGGAATAAAAAAACCACGTTACTGCGCACAAGTAATCAAAAGAGTAAGTTGGTAATGGGTATACATTTGTCAAGAGATGCCGAAGGATGACCAGGTGTTTTTGCTTCTAAATAAGTCAGAAGGATTAAGCTGAGTAAATACAACTTATTCTGTCAAAACAGGCTTAGAGGATTGGCAATTTCGGATTTGATTGCATTTAGAACACTAGAGATTTTATAATCAATCGCTGTAGAACAAATGGAAAAGAATTGCATAGGTAGCCTCCGATTTTACCAAGAGTTTTAACGATAAAAAAAAGCAAGAGTCGATGGTCCCATCCTGGAAATCACGAATACTGTATCAGAGGACGCACGACCATATATGCACCAGGTCTTTCTGATGGTCTGAACAAATTGCGAAAACGAGATCAAACCAAAACTATAAAGCTAAAAGAGGATGCGACCAAACAGAAAGCAACACCATCTTGCTCTTTATATCTGCAATCTAGCTTAAATAACCTTTATACACAATATTGATTGTAAAGTTATATAAAAACATAGTTATAACAATATAGAGTTTGTCGTATAGAATGAATAAGATATTTTGAAAAAGTTCACTCGTTAATAAGTTGAATGAATTAAAGCATGAATACTAGTTAAAAAATTAAACGCAAATCTTTAATGAATCATGTTGGTAATAATGCAAATTTATTTAATCATTTTTAATTCCTTAAATTTGGACTATTCTAAGACCTTATAAAGGACATGGAGAGTGATAGATGAGAAAAATATAATAAATTTAAGGGAAGTAATCATGCATAATAACAAATGAAATCGGGCCTCATGGATAAATCTGCAAAAAAAAATACCGGTTTAAATGGACTTACTTCACCTCACAAGTAAAACCTAATCAATTAGTTAAGTATTTTATGTTCCTAAGAAGGACGTGGATTGTCTATAAAATATAAAACGCTTGCTCTATAAGACTGCAAAAATGGAGGCCCCGAAACAAAGATACAAAAGGAAAAATAGAATTACCAATGTACCCTATTTTGAAGCAGCTGAATAAAATATGGTAGGACTGCCGACAGAAAGACGATCCCTTAAAGATGGTGCGAAATATAACACTCTAAACTCCGCGGGCCACACCAGAGGGGAGAAATAAAAGGAAAAGAACGAGACCAACTTAAAAGGGATATTAACTACTTCATATAATCTAGCGTAGTTTTCCATGTCAACTTCTGATTGGACGATGAGGTGCCAGGCTTTGATTAGACGACGCAAAATAGTGTCAAGATTAGTCACACATCCCGTTATCTCTGCACCAAAGGATGCTGAGCCATGGTTACACATGGGATGTAACATAAACTAAACAGTGAACGGGAATATATGAAGACCAAGATGTTGTGGCCTCTGGTATGGTCGCAGTCTCTTAGATTTATAGAAGTGGGTTGACCTCGTTGTCGCAACTTGGTCTTGTAGCCAGGGCGACTTAGTAGAACGCACCTAACCAAAGTCGTCTGCCATAGTAGTTGTCATGATTCCAAGCAGCAAAGAGTGGAGTTGGTATCATCTCAAACAAGTGAGAAGCTGTGATAGCGCGGGAGTTAGATAAGAGGGTAAAGAGTAGATAGATAGACCAGGACAGAAAGAGTAGTGATAGCGTAACCGTTTTCGGCAGAACGTTTTGATTGTTGAGCTTACTTCCATTTGTTGGATGAAGAGATTCGAAGGTCGGCTCCACCAGGAGAGATAAGAAGACTTTTTCTCATGTTTTGTCTTTACCTTCGTGCGTTCTCTCTAAAAGGATATGTGAGCAAGTAAAGAATTGGGAAATAAAAATGGTCTTAAGGGAAATTACGACACTTTCTTCAGTTATGCCCACTTTTAGAGAGAAAGTTGACCAATTATCCAGATCGG